TGGAGCCAGTGCCGTAACCACCACCGTAGCCACCGCCATAACCACCTGCAGGAGTGCTGGCAGGAGAGCTAGTAGGAGAGCTGGCGCTGGCCTCGGGAGTGGAGGGAGTGGACTGGCCAGCGGAGGTGGAGCAAGGCGTCTCAGAGGCACCTGGTGTGCTGGCGCTAGCTTCGGGAACAGAAGGAGAGGAGGTAGGGCTGGGGGTGGAGCCAGTGCCGTAACCACCACCATAGCCACCACCGTATCCACCACCGTAGCCACCGGCAGGGGAGCTAGCAGGGGAGCTGGCGCTGGCCTCGGGGACGGAGGGAGAGGAGCTGGGGCTGGGGAGAGCGCCAGTGCCGTAACCACCGCCATAGCCACCGCCGTAACCACCACCGTAACCACCAGCTGGGGTGCTGGCGGGAGAGCTGACTGGCGAGCTGGCGCTGGCCTCGGGGACGGAGGGAGAGGAGCTAGGGCTGGGGAGAGCGCCGGTGCCGTAGCCGCCTCCATAGCCGCCTCCGTAACCACCACCGTAACCACCACCATAACCACCAGCAGGAGTGCTAGCAGGGGAGCTGGCGCTGGCGTCGGGGACGGAAGGAGAGGAGCTGGGGCTGGCAGCGGGGGTGCTAGCTGGAGGAGTGTCGTATCCACCTCCGTATCCACCGCCGTATCCACCTCCGTAGCCACCAGCAGCAGGTGTGCTGGCGCTGGCTTCGGGGACGGAAGGAGAGGAGCTGGGGCTGACAGCGGGGGTGCTAGCTGGAGGAGTGTCGTATCCACCTCCGTATCCACCGCCGTATCCACCTCCGTAGCCACCAGCAGCAGGTGTGCTGGCGCTGGCTTCGGGGACAGAGGGAGAAGAGCTGGGGCTGGGGAGAGCGCCAGTGCCGTAACCACCGCCATAGCCACCGCCGTAACCACCACCGTAACCACCTGAGCCGTAACCGGCGTCGTATTGGCGACGTTGGATGCGCTGGTTGCGGGCCTCAGCAGCGTCGGCGGCGGCGAGAGCCGCCAGGAAGGCGACAGTGAGCTTCATGTTTAATTATCAAGTTTTCCTTGCTCTTCAACTGTGTATTGGTATGAATAAGACGAAAAGATCAATCAATAGGCAGGCGAAGAAGTTTGAAATCCAGGAAAGAGTGACTGGATAATTCAAAGAATGTGACGTCCGAAGACAAGTGATAGCGAGTGTGGTAAGGAAAAATGCCTTGGGAAGTGAAGGAAAAATTAATGAGAGGAGGGAGGCAGTATATGAACCTCGAGGGCGAGGGTTGCAGGACGCGGGCCAAGCATACACTGGCAGCTAATGGGAGCACAGATGCGCCAAAGGTGGACGGCCCCTGGCGGCTGTTAATTTCGTTCAGGAACAACCGGCGGCAGGGACCAGTAGGCGGCGTTGTTAGCTAAGAACAACCTCAGGGGGGCTGCATGAAGCTAGCCACTCATGTGGGCCAGCGAGGAACATCTACCCATGGCAGCCGCTGGCGACGCCGCTACGGGCAGGCTGCCAGGAGGGAGCCATTCTTTTCGTCGTGCGTCGTACGTGGAGCTCGTGGAAGGCCTCGGAGAATGGCCATGGCACGGTGCTTGTTGGCCCCATTCGCGCTCCACATGTGCGGCAGAAAAGGCGTCCAGCAGCACACAAGTCCCATCTTTTTGCTGCCTCCCCCCCTAATCGCCGGGTTTCATTGCGCTTGGCCAAAATAGAAAGTGACTAGGCGCAGATCCTCCCTGTCAGTCAGCATTGCTTCCACACGGGCGGGTACCTAGCACATGCTGCATGTGCGCTGTCGGTGAGCGTATGTACACACATTGCGCGCCGGCGGTTCGTGTACACATGTCTGTAAGCTTCATCAGGACAGGGTCTTTGGCACAAGGGCAATTCGGCCCATTTCGCTCTGTTTAGCACACGGTAAGCGGCTGCGCCACTGTGGACAATCTTGGACCGGTCAACCACGCACTCGTGATTGTGGAGGCGCCTGTCGACAAACATCTGCCAGTGAAAACAGTGCATTGGGGGCAGTCGTCTTTTCGACGCCTTTGTGCAAGCGTTTGCAATGGTGCGACAGGCAGCGTGCGCTTGCGCTTGCAGCTTCACAAGTCTGCACAAGCACTCGAGAAGTGACTTCATCGCCTGCCAGCCTGAGTCGACGACACGCAATGCCGACTCTTGCGCCTTGTGGCTCCGTTGCGCGCCGCCTGGTTGTGGGCGACGGCCGTGGTAGTAATTGTCTGGTGTGTTGCCGTGCCGTGTGCTGTGCCTGAACGCTGCGCCGAACCGAAGCCCTATTCCCCCAGCCTTTTCTTCTTTTCAGCTCCGGCACGAAGCCGTGCCAGCAAGCCCGCAACGGTGCCCTAATGCCACTGCATGCCTACGGCTTCGCGACATGGCCTCGCCGTCAGGGTGCACCAAGGCATGACGCACAGCCACACGCGACGGCAGTGCTCTGACCGTCTCAGTGCCTGTCGCCAGGTGCGCTTTGCCGGACACAGCGTCGCCATCGGCATCGGCTATCCAGTGCCTGTTTGCGATGCTGTCGGGATCATGGGCCCATGTGGCAGACGCAGCCAGTCGACAGCCTTTCCCCGTGCCTAGTCCCTGCCGTCTGGCAATGCAATGCGCGGTGGCATGAGCGTGTTCTCGACTCTCAGCGAACATGTACCAGATCGCTCGGAAATGAGGGCGATCGGCTGCTGGCTTCCAGTCCGTTTCTGGAGAGCGTTTAGACGCCATCCGTCGTCAATGGCCCGTCTGCAATGCCGCTGTGGGGAGCTTGTCCCCATGCCGGAGGGCGGCCAAATGCAGCAGGCGAGATTGCAGATGAGCAACACGAGCATTTCGATAAACTGTCGATGGATAGGGTCAGCAGCAGTGGAGCGCCAGCGTTGACGGTCAAGATGAGTCGTGGGCGAGGCCTGCAGCCCCTGTGGTGTGTCGTGTGGTGTCGTGTGGTGTCTGCGGTGTCGTGCGGTGGGCGTCCAGGCGTCGCCAGTCTGGGCCGCGCAGTCACCGTCTGTCGTCGGCCTGTTCTGGAAGGCGCGCCCTCGCTGCCTGCCTGCCCGCCTGCCCGCCTGCCCGCCTGCCCGCCTGCCCGCCTGCCAAGCCACGTGCCAAAGTCTGTAACGCCACACCAACTCCTTCACCCTCTCCCGGTGACGTATCCGCTGCCTGCGTGCATCAACGGCCCATACCAAGGCCTTCCTTCTTATCAAACTTATCGCCCGCCCATCAACCTGCTGCAGCGGTTCGTGCCGCTTTTCGAAACAGAGGCCGCCGGTTCGCTTGAAACGAAACGTTAGACCAGCCCCTCCATGTCGACAGCTGTCTGCGTGGCACCCGACCCCGCATCCAAGACGTCAAAGGTGCTTGACGGCATTGGTGGGCCAAGCTGCCTGATATATCAGTGGCAGGCGGGCTCCGCAGCACTGTGGCCGTGGTGCGTAATCCATCCTCGACGGCCATGGCGCCCTCGTTCGCCCGCTGAGTGCCTGGCCCCATGTGTCAACCACCACTGCCCACCCGCTGCGTGGCCCCCAAATGACATGCTTCCTTTCCCCCCATACGAACCAGGGTCCTGATTATCGATAAAACCCGGGGCACTAGAGATGCCATCTGACGCGCTAGCTCCACGTCCACCCGTGGTATCTTTGGCTGAATGCATGGCTTGGCCAACCATGCTAAACACAACCTTTCTTTTCCTCGTCATCAAGCTTGACGCAAGTGTGCCTCGACATGAAACAGCATCCTAGACCGTTGACGTGACGCAAGTGTACCGGCCCAACGTCGATTGGTTGATTTTTTGTTCGACAAGCTTTTTCGTCTCTGATGCTAGTAGCTTAGACTACGCTTATTCTCCACAGAGGCAAACTGGTTTTTGATACATGAAAACAGAAAGACTAGACATGCCCCCTCGTCAGGTACTCCTACATACCCGTGGTTTTTATTTCATATCTGTGTTTGACACAGGTCTCAACAAGCATCGAGTAACTGAAGCACGATAAATACAAACATATTGGGTGGCAAGGATAGATACACTAACGGCCTGCTACACAGTTGTAACGAAATATTTTCTTCATCCAGCCCCTCTTACCCATTCCTCTTGGCAGTATCTCAATATCCTCCTGCTCACACATGTGGCTTGTATTGAAATATGCATGATATGATGATTTCTTTACCGGCGTTATTAATGTATACTGACTCAATTTATACAAATAAACAATCTTGGTATATTACCATCTAGAGCACAAGACGTAACATGGATGTGTCAAATGGATTCATGATTATGAAATATGACCTTCAAACCTCATAGAGAGAGCATTTAGCAGAGAAGATAAAAATATATACACATTGTCGATAAAGAACTTGTACAAACTACTAGCTTTTTTGTGAACTCATGCCACCTACGCTTCCGCATACATATTACAAAGTAGATCAAGTATTATTTTCCAGGTATAGATAACACAATGAACGAAGAAAAATTACATGCGGTTTTCAACGTGGTGAGAGCTTTGAGAAGGCGATGAATTTCAAGAAGCTCCGGCTCTGAGACTAGTCATGGACACAAAGCAAACGAAATGAATGACCATAGAAACTTCTTGGCAAGAGTTCTATTACAAACCCGTAGTATGTAATAATCTATCAACGCAGCTAAACCAAAACTACTCAATACACTGCTCGCCAAAGAAGAGGGGTAACAGTCATGCGTCCGCCACTCTCATCCCTGCAAACCTACCATTGAGAATACCATGAGCCCCTGCAATTCTACTACTACGTCTGCCGTTGCATTTCCGCATATTGAAGGCTGAAAATACTAGGATATGATTCACAAAGTGGAAATTAAGCGGAGGGTAACGGAAACAACAAGAGCCAATCATTTCACTTGGATAGGTCACCCCAGCTGTCGCCTTGGCCCATGGATAGAAGATCAAATAAACAGGTATTTGTGGGTCAAGAAAGCAAGTGTGAAACAGTTCCGCCCTCCCGTAAGAAGGGCGTATGAAGCTGGACGTGTGGATTTGGCTGCAGAAGGTGAGCAACGCCAAGGAAAGAGGGGAAGGCTGTGTTGATACCCTGTACATACATCATGCTATATGTATAAAGGGACCAGGATATCGATGACATTACCAAAAACAAACATGCGTTTCATACTTGACTATGCGAAAATACCGGGAGCGGACGAGAGGGTTCGCTCAAATTGAGGTCCACCTGAGAACCGCAGACCCGACGCGCCGATGATGTAATTTTCTCATGAACATATAGCAAGTCTCAACTATATTCCACCTGAAGCTTCGGCCGACTTACCTACGTGTATTTAAATGAGTGGGGTCACGTTCAATATGGCCGTATTGCCTTGAAGGGTTTAGCGTCTTGGCGGCTGTGTCGACACCCGGCGTGGCAGCTCATTGGCTGTGGAACTCGATACTTATCGATAATGAAGTGCAACATGTGTTTGAGAACCCACATCAACAAGGCGCGGCTCCCCTCAGAATTAAATGATATGAAGACTAACGGGTGATAAACACAACCGGATCGACGTCTAGCAAGAAAGTGTGCAAGGACTAACAAGCTTAGCAGCTCGTTTCAAGACTAGTGTGTCATCAGCCTTCTTTAACCTTAGTCTCAATATTCGTGTCGCATCCTTCATTACTTGGAGCCATTTAGCAATGGTGCTCAGTAGAAGTGTGCTCAGTCTCGCAAAGTAATGCCACCTTCGCTTACTACACACTCTCAGCCCGGCATGAATTCCTTGTTCTGCTACACCAGTGGACGGTAGCTATGGAATGAGCGCGAGCAACTAGAAGCCCGATATCAAAGTTTTGACGAACCCAGTCTCCAACAAGCGGCCTGCCAAGCCGTCGGTGCAAACAAATGTGTATCTTTCGAGAAGATTGGAGATGGTAACTACAACAAGGCAGATCGCATTGAGATGGAAGACGATCAAAAATCATCGCAAAAGTTCTAAACCCAAATGTTGGCCCAAGAGCACTTGTCACGGCATCAGAAGAGGCAACTATGGAGTTTGCCCGGACCATTTTGAACATACCCGTCCCAAAAGTGCTTAGTTGGAGTGTTACCGATCAGAACCTTGTACAAGCAGAATACATCATTATGGAAGAAGCGAGAGGCTCCCCACCCCAAGAAGTCTGGCAGGATCTCTCACTGCGGAAGAAGTCTGCCATCAGCCGCGAGCTCGTAGACGTCGAAAGGAAGCTACTCTCAGTCTCATTTGGACAATAGGACTGAACTTGCTCCACTGGAGAATGTGCGTTTACTTGAACTCACACACTGACATATTAGGATCATTGTATTTCAAGAACAGCGGTATCGCGGGATGCGAGCCAGCTATCGTTGCAACTGGTCCCCAAGACGTTGTCAGCCAGATCGAATCAACTTATTGCATTGGACCCATCACCCAGAGAGAATTCTGGGAGAAGCAGCGCAGTGGTATGCAATAACATGGTCCCTGGAAATCTCTCGACATCTATGAGGTACGTGGTTTAGACATAACATGATCGCAGGAAAATCTTCTGTAGAATACCTCGAATCTGTCGCTCGCCGCGAGATTGGATAAACACTTATGCGAACCCAAATGAAACGAAAAAAGCCCTATGGCGGTACAAAAGCCTGTAACAGAACTCTTCAGAGACTCACATAGCTTTGCTATAGAGGTTCCTAGCTGTAATTCCATACATCACTCCCAAAGACCCAGAGCTTGTCTCTTCGAGACTTTGGCACCCAGGATTTCATGCTGGTAATGTCTATATCGACGATCAAGCCCGGATATCATCTATTATCGACTGGCAGGGAGCCTGGACTAGCGCGTTGTTCATCGGAGCCCATTCCCCATTACTTTTGGATTACGGGATTGACATGTTGATGAAGCTCCCCGAAGGCTTCAAATCACTCAACGACGCTACAAGAAAACGAGATCAGATACAAAGCGTCGCAGTCCGTTTTAATCCACACGTACGAGGCTACTATGGCGGAGAAGAACCCGCTTATGTACAAGGTTATGCGAACATCCCCATGGCCAGACCTTCAAGCAACTAGAAGCTTTTGCTGGCTCTACCTAGGATAAAAGTCTCTTTTCCTTTGAAGAATGCTTGATCCGCGTTGAGAGGTGTGTTGATCTGATTGTTTTTTACTTCCACGGCTGACCCTTTTGCAGTGAATGGGGTCACTTCGGAACCAACGAACCATGTACGTATTACTTCTCAGCAGAGAAGATACAGCAACATTCCGAAGAGATCGAGTCTTTCAACAAGAGCCAGGAGTTCTGCAAAAAGCTGCAAGGTATCTTGAATGATGAGGGCTATGCTTCCAATGAGAGTTTCACTAAGGCCGTCGAGATACTTGCCGATTTACGACAAGTCGGGCTGAACCGTCTCAAGGGTGAGGAACGATGCAGATTTGAAGACGAGACGTGGTGGGTTGTAGATCTCGAGGGACATGGCGTCTAGCACCTGCAGCATGCTGTGACGAATAAACACTGGCGAGGGCGATGCCAAAAGTGTCACCAGAATAGGTACGGTATCTAAGACACTATCAAAAGGTAATATCAGACACGGCTGATATGTAGCGATGCTGCTGTGTTCTTGTTACTAAGTGAAGAGAATGGTAGTGCTCGTCATATGCTTACCTAGGAGTGATTTTGATATGCCGCTCAAGCTGCAACCTAGCCGGTAAGGACTGCGCTTTGAGTTCCTTCTCGTAGTACTCGCGTTCGTGATTATGAGCCCACTACTATCGGTGTAGGCGAATCATTTAAATGAACGCGAGGAGCTGCCCATCGTTGCACTTGATAAGACGTGAAGTGCAGCTTCCAGGCGGGTCACATGTTGGGTGCCCTGCTCTGCTCGAGCTTGTTGTTCAAGCGCATGGCTGATTATCCAGAGTACCTTGGGAACATCGGCGCTGACTCCACGTCCATGTTCATAGCTGCGGTACGCGACGCTCTTTCAAACATGGTCATGGTATCTTCCTCTACTGCTCACCACCCTTGCTGTTTTTCCAGCTTCCAGCGTAATGATGTTCCACTAGTTGCTTGGGTAGGAGTGCCTCCTGTTCTGGCGTGTATGTGTTCGAGGACGCTGCGAACGACCGACCGGGCATTACCAGGACGTCTCCAACAAGTTTTGGCTGCAGGAGCTCCTTCAGATCGCCTATAGCATCTATCGACTGGTTGAGCTGCTTCTCCAAGCTTCGAATTATACCACGTGTTAAACGTCGTGGACCTGTAAAATCTACCACATCTCCCATGATGTCCAATGTGGCGTTTGCGATTGAGGGGAGATGATGCTTCGCCATTTGTTCTTGCAATTTCTCGAGAATATCGTCGATGACTTGCATGAAGTGTGGTGATCTTGGTTTCGCCATCATAGTCCAGCTGGCAAACTGCCGGATATATTGGCCTGGCCATCCATGATCAAACTCCCACCCCACTACCACCGCGGCATCTTTTTGGTATTCCGGCGGCACCCATTCATCAATAGGTGTTTTGCAGGAGACGTCCAGATCTGACCAGATACCGCCTTGATCCCAGAGTAATAGGTAGCGCAGAAAGTCGGCTTTGTATATAGGAACAGGTAATGCGAGGTAGCTGTCGACGATATCTGAGCGAAACGCAAAGGCTTTCCGGACGTATTCGTCGCCGCTTTCGTCCGTTATGAACCGTGCTTCGTAGGTGGGATTGTTCTGAATGCAGCTGTTGGTCCAGTTTCGCGCGTCTTCAGAAAGGCCGTTCGGGCCCAATTTGTACCAAATAAGCTTGGGAATCTCGCTTTGCTGCGCATCTGTGTGAGCGAAAGGGGCACGGACGGTGAACTGACTCCGAATAGAGAGAAAATGATAAATTGCCCCTATTGTGCATAGCGCGATCAGCGAGTGGTAGTTCAGGACTTTGGATAAATGCAGTGACCGTGACAGCATGGTGAAACTCCAAACGCGACTGAGGAAGACGGGACACATTTAGACGGCCGGCCATGTTAATATTTGTTCCTTGATTGCCGCGCCTAATTATTGAATCCAGTGCTAGGCAGCTTTCGGGCACTGTCCGTGTACTACATACTGTAAGCGCCTGGCTATGCGCATGCATATGCGTACCCTTGCCTGGCACACACGCGCCTAGGTCAGTATTCGTCGGTTACAGGAGACATTGGCAAGGCAGGCCCCATATATGGAGGCAATCATCCAATCATCGCATTTAATTTGTGGGGCCGTTCCGCCTCCACCGTGCCACACCGAATTCATGGCACATCTAAGCACCTTCATGCCCACACTATCGACTCTCCCCTGTAAGGGGGCTAGCAGGAATGCAGCTGAGCCGCAAGCATCCGATTTCGCTTCAAAGATAGAAGAATGCAAGGCTGAATTGCAATGAAAGAAGCGCGAGGATACAAGACTAAGGGCTACGAATGAGGCCACTCGGTTAGCCTCATGATTCATATCCATCACAATCCGCAAGCGATAGGCGCTGGCCTACCAAGAAGGCATGGCAATTGCGTAGGAGAGAATCCTGCTCCAGTACGCGCTGTGTGAGAAAGCGCTGCTGTGCCTCCCTCGTGCGTTTTGCCACCGGCCCAAACGAATTGTATGAGGTGGCAGCAGTGTACATGAGTCCATATCGACCTTCTCGCACAGGGATCGGCCCATAGTTTTATTCAGTTTCTGTTCTTCACCTTTACATACGAGAGCCTTCGCTAAATCACAGAATCCTCACGTTTACAGTTCTTGAAGCCGATCTCTTCTACTATGGCCCGCCTGGCAGCATGCAACTTGGTGGCTGCATTATCTGCACGCGTGTACGGCATCATGGAGTTCATTAACCCGCCACCCTTCGGAACGACTGGCGACTTGAGTGATAGCCCAACGTACGATGAAGGCACGACTGTGAACGTTGCCTGGACTCAAGACGAAGACAGAGGGGGTGTATCACTATGTCTTTTCCAGCAGAATAAAACAGATGGCACATGGTTTGGTGATATGGAATATCTGACGCGTATGCAAGATCCCGGTTGCTATTGTGTTATTAAGAAACAAGCTCACTTTGGAAATTAGAGAATGCTCTGGATATCACAAGATACTCCTGGCTTGTCGGAACGAGAAAGAATCTCACACTATCGAACCTGTTTTACCTCAGCGTCTTCCAAGAAGGGAAGGGGTCCCCGGACTCCAACAGCCACTACTTCTACATCAAGTCAAAGCGCACTGAAGAGAATGCATCACCATCATCTTCTATGTTCTCTTCTAGATCAGGATACACACCTACTGCCGCGCCAGTATCAACCCCAACAGGCTTAAGCACCTCAAGTATTAGTATCGGTACTATGCCAATGAGCACTCCGACCAGCAATACCACAGATCTACAAAATCTCTCTGGCCAAGTACCCCCAGCGGACGGCTTTCCTCTAGGTGCTAAGATTGGCCTTGGTGTAGGAATACCCATCGCCCTTATTCTCGGACTCGTCGGGGGATGGCTACTTTTCCGCCACCATAAGAAAAGGGAAGCTGTTTTCCCATACATGGGACACGAGGTGTCTGCTAGTCAAACCAAGCAACACGTATACTACAACAATGGGGGGTTTTGTAGTACAAATGTGAGCGAGGCACCAGCAAAGTCACCAGTGGAGATTGGACAGCACTATGTCTAGAAGTTCAGTGGATGGGAAGACGAACAACAGTACCAGCACCCGTGCATCCCTGAGCAGGCGTCTCACTCTCGCTCATCATCCTGACTGGGGCTAGTACCTGCTTTGGCAGCGATCTTTGCTCTTTTTTTTGCTTTAGCTGCATCGGGTAAGCTGCTGCGAAACGTTTAGTGATGCCATGACACTTACTACTTGCTTTGTCTTGGAGCCCACGCGCCATGCGCCATTCAAAAACATCTTTTTTTATCTCAGGTATTTGTATCGTTCGTAGTTTGCCATTGACGGACTCATGTATTTTTGAAAGCTCATCTTTGGGCACCGTTGTCCAGGTAATGTCTGGGTTGCCCGCCACGAGCTCGTCCATCTCAGCCTTGGTTATGTTCTATTACTTAGTAGTTGGGGTCAGCGTACTCTCGGCCAGAGCAATGGCGGTTTGCCGTACATAGAACTCCTTCCACTGTGCATCATCGTAGCCCGCTCTTTCCTGGGCTTCTTTTTTGGAAGCTTTTCTAAGAAGATCGAACTCTAGCATTGCTATAGGTATTCGGGGCTTGAAGTCAGTCAGGGTCAGCCGTGATGTCAGGAACTTGCACCAGCGGCCAGAAACCTTACCCCCCCATTGCTAATAAGCTTGTTTGGCGACGGGGACCGTGCGTAAGAAGCCCCACCACGCTCCTGAAAGCACATAGCCACACACCATATATTGGGAAGCGGGGTTCCAGCAACGAACGAACCAGGACTGAATAGTGACGTGTGAGTGTAGGGCGTATTTCTGTTGTTTCGGTGCAGGCCTACCCTATCTGCACAGGGTCACGAGTCCCCCAGCGGAGACGACTCCCTGCCTGTCGTACACTGGCGCCGTTACTGTACTTAGGCACTCGGAAGCAATCATGCACTATTCAAAATCTTGACCAGCACGAGTACCCACGTCATCTAGAGCATGGCATTAAGCATAAGAGCGTTATCAGTAGCGATAGTGAACAAATTTTGATGTGAGTGCCATTGAAAAGAAGCAATCTTTTCAGTCGAACTGCCATCCAGCATACAGGCACGCCATACGTACTACTTAAGCGGAAATTTCGCTTGCGTCAATCTCCCCTCACGTCTGCTCTCCATCAACATGTCTCCACATTGGCTCTTGGCAAACCGAATTTTTGATGCATCATTATCTACTAGTATTCCAAAGCTTGTGGACCTCTCTACTGGTAGCTTGTCCCGAAGAGTGGCATCAGAAGAAAACCATCACCAGCGCAGTATCGAAGCGTTAGTAAAGCGCTGACGCCCAGCTGGATCTATGGTTGCTTCAAATGTTTAGCAAAGTACGTTATATCTACCCTCCCCATTACATCTATTGCGCCTTTATCAGGGCTCAACCTTTTCTTCTCTTTCTTCCTATAATCACGCACCATTAATCTTAGTGGAGCTATCAGTCGCTACCCCTACTGTATTACAGGAGAAATTTATTTCTATGCCCGCTTCATTTTATGTGACTTCTATTACATAGCAGCTGCATCAGCTACTTAGAGTTTAGTAACTTCTTTCTCTATGTATTACACAAACCATTCAGCTTACATGAGCCTCCTAATAGTGTAGCGTGAACTGAAATTTATTATTATTGACTACTATAGCAAGTGTTGCATTATTCTGCAAATGCGAGATCTCTCTACCAAATGTAGATATCACTTACGTGCCACTTTATTCTGCACTATTAGTCTTCACTATCTCCCTTTAGCCTTAACGACGTTGTTCGAATAGGATATATCACTAATGAAAACCCTTGGATACTGGTTGTATTCAAGAATTAGCTTTATGCAAATACAATAACTAAATTTAGACTTACCTTCCCCCTTCCCTATATTAACATCTACTCGGATCAGCTATATATGGACTCGCAGCTGAGCACACACATCCTATCCTTTACCGTAGCACGAAAAATGTTAGTCATATGATTCATATATTCAAGGATATTAACAGCATATGTAGTGCTCGTTTACCTTGTTCCCATAGAGAAATTCCAACCACATGCGGCCTTACACGCCTCATCCGGACCCCAAACACAGCGAGCAGAAACGTCAGTAGCTACAATCACGCAGCCCTACCAACCCGCCTTCATACAGTTTTTCAGCATCCATTGGCAGCAACTGTATATATATGTGGGATCCGGAACGTCGCGAGGCAGAAGTGAGAGGTCTGAATTGAGTGTGGGGCCGGAAGGTGCTGCGGGGATGACGAGGAAATGAGTAACGAAAAGAAGAATTTGGCGAGAGGGTGGTAAGAGCATTGTGAGTGGAGATGCTAGGGTAGTAGTGATCGAGAGTAGAGGTGATTATATGGTGCTGCCCGCAGGGAGCTATTGCCTTATATATACCAGTCAAAGATTGTATGTAATAACAATCCAAATATCAATGTGTGAATTTCTCATGAGATAATATAGGTGTCTGGACGTCTTTTAGAAAATCTCGTCTGCCGTAGCAAGGAGGTCGGTCTGACTAGGGCTTGCTCGGGGTACCACCAAGTACACACTATACCAAGTTCCAGCCTATCATGCATACTTGTCAACAATCAAGCCAAGCCAAGCTAGAGGCCCAGCTTAGCTTGGCTTAATAGCTAGTTATAAAAACCTTAGATTAGCTTAGCTTAGATTAGCTTAACTAAGCTTAATTAGTAAGCTTATAATCTAGTTAATCTAGCTAGTAGTGTAGTGGAGCAACTAGGAGGTATTGTAATGGGCGGGCCCAACGGGCCGAGCGTACGACTACTTACGCCATCCATAGCCAAAAAGGCAGTAACAAGACTTCAAGCTTCTTGAAGTCCAGGTAGTCGTATAGATATACTCGATCACACACACTTTAGGCGTAGCCTCTTACAGGTATATCCCAGTAGCTGAAAGGTAGTTAGACAGTGCTAGGAGACGGGTATAAAACTAGGAAGTGGAGGAAAATAGTAAGAAGATAGACAACAACATTACATAATAATATATAATTATACCTTCTAAACACCTATTAGAATATAGGCCTATACACTATAGTAATAGTTAAAATAACTAGTAGACTATAAGTAATAGAACCTATATAGCTACTAAGCACCTACGTAGCTAGAGGTAAATAACACTCTATAATATATAGCAACTAATCTAAAACTTAACTATAACCTTCTAGCTCTAGAAGGCTAAGTGCGTCTTAGTATAATCCTAGTATTAGACCTTTAATACTTAGTCTAGAGTAACGTATTTAGAAAGAGATAGATATAAAAATAATAAAGGAACCTAGAAAGAAGATATAGCTATAATTACTAAGAAGAATATAATAAAAAAAAAGTAACTAGAAAAGTACTTAAAAGACTAAATAGATAGAAAAGATAGGGGAGTTAAGAAGACCTAGAACTCTAAACTATAACTTTAGATATAGTCTAACTACCTCTTAGAAGAAGAGAAGTAGAAGATATATGGTACTAAATAGTATTAGAAAAATATATAGAAGTCAAAATAATATTTATAAAATAAGAAGCTAAGAAATAAGAAATTATATATAAGCACTAAAAGTAAGTAATAATAGAACTAGAGATATAGGCACTACCTATATAGCTAGAAGACTAGTAGTTTTAGTAACTATTACTATCTAATAGTAATTTAAAATAATAGAATATGTAACGGGCTGAACGCCCTTCGCCTCCCATACTCGTCTACGACCTCGTTTACTCCACCTGCCCGGCCCGATTGTTACCCTAGCAACCAGCATTGTATATAGATAGCTACGTAGCCGAGAGCTTAGCTCTCTATCGAATACAATCTTGTTACCTTGGCCTGTCCGATCGTGCTCCCGAGCTTAAGACTACCCTCCGGGGTCGAGCCCCTTACAGAATAGAAGAATATAGGAATGCTAATAGTATATATACTTTTAGTTATCAGAATATTACTCTCTAGAATATATAGCATAGAGTATATAGTTTTTAAAAAAGAATAGCAATAACCTAAGTATAAAAGAAGAAATAAAATAAGCACTAAGGCAACTATAACTTATATAAGTACTAATAAAAGAAACTTTCTTAGTAATAGAGCTATAAGAGTAAATAGATTAAATAAAGATCTAATAAATTAATATTAAGGATAAGTAGTAAGGACTTAGGTAAAATAAAACTAAGATAGAACTAAAAGATACTATAATAGCAACGTTAGAAAGCTCTATAGACTCCAGTAGCTAAGATACTCTAGCCTCTATATAGGGGATAGAAATCTTAAAAGTCCTTTAGATAATAGCATAGTCTATAGATTATTTAGGTTTAAATAATAATATTATGCTTACGTGCTAGCTCTTACCTAGACTAGCGAATGGGTATAGGGTTCCTATTATAGGTATAGGGTAGGGTAGGGTCGCACAGATGTTAGGTAGGGTGTTACAAGTAACAAGAAGGATTCCTTGACGCGGGACGAGTGGCAGAGGACCTATGGATGTCCACGTCAGAAGGTAATGATCAACGCGGGGCGAAGATCACGTGATCGGCATCCCGCCAAGACAAGACATCTCGCCAAGAGGGCAGATGCCACGACATCGCAAGATGCCAGGACATCTTGGACATCTGTAGATGCCAGGCCTTTCTAGAGATGCCACAGATGTCAGGACCGAGAACAATGGGTATAAGAATGTGTTGGATTTCATTATTACACTCGTTGTGGTCAATTCTCTCAATAGTTCATCTCTTACCCAGATTGATACTAGTTATTCTACCTTAGTAGAATTGATTGTTTACTCTTTGGTTAAATCCTATAACTCTTTTCCACATAGCACTTCGCAAACAATCTCACGGACTACCGCTTTAGTCTACTCGCCCTAACCCGGACCGAGACCAGAGAAGTATAGCCGAACCCCG